AGCGGGGTTCGTCAGACGATTCCTTTGATGACAGCGACAACGAGATTGTAGTAGCACATACAATTCATTCATTTATTCATGCAACTAGTAAGACAATTGTACCGCTAAGAATTGGACCCAGGAGGCAGTATCATAGGTTGGATTCCCAACCGCTGGGCCGTTGAGATAATGAAAGCATGGCGCATCTCCTTGTCAGTGGTTTGTGTATACATATATGTCAGTAGCTGCAGGGTCCATAGCAAAAACTTGTTGCATCATAAGCCGCTCCGTGAATGGCAAGTCAGCATCATCAACCTGCAACATCTGCATGGCCCTTGAGCGCTGGTCATCACCCTGATCCTCGGGATAGACCATGCGCTCAGAAATCACATCCGTTAGGCGGTTAACGGAGCTCTGGAACCCCATCACAGCTACGGCAGTGGTGGTCTTCGACATCTTGACATCCGCTGTACCACTACCCCCAGTGGCACCACTTCCGAGTCTGTGCACGGCCTGATGTTGTCTTTGCTCTTTTGAGAGAGCCTGGCTTAGAGGGAGGCAGCGGCATCTGAGGGTCTTCGTCTCGCATAGAAACCGAGGTAGAAGGAAGTGAGGTAGTCGACTCTTGAACCATGTCAGAGTGAGAGCGTTTGGAGCTAGGCCGAGATACTAAGGATGTGGAAAGGGTGTTATTGCTGTCAATAGAGGCGGGACATCGAGAAGTAGGAATAGAAGTAGGGGCAACTACTGCAGGGGTGGCGCTGGGACCAGCAGGAGCGGCACTGACACTAGAAGTAGCAATGGTGGCGCCCATGGTATGATTTTCAGCTGCTGGTATGCTAGCGCTGGAGCTTGAGCTTAAGGGAGGGGGAGCTGTATGCGGTTGGTACCCTGGTACGCCCTCGCGCGCCACTGTTTTTTGGTATGATATCATCCATTTGCTCAAAGTATCTCCATCCCGATACACGAAAAGGGCGCATGTGCGAATTTCCCTAGATATAAAACAGTAAGCTACCAGTACAAAATGTAGATGACACTGTGAACTGGACATACCTTCTTTGTAATATATTCGTTCCATACCGTGGTTGCACCCTCGCTCGTGATATTGGCTCCTCTGACATTATCCCAGTGGACACCAGACGTCTGGCGATACTTCTGAATAGCGTTATAGATCTGTTTTAACTATACAATATCTAATCAGTCTATATCTAAGCGATATATTGGTATATGACTTACTGCTCCCCATTTCGTCTTGCACATCGTTCCAGTCTTCTGTGGACCCTGCTGCAGGTGCGCAGCAATAGCCTCTGCAGCACCATTGTATGTTACATCTTTGAAGTTACCGGTGTCAGCGACCTTCTCCCGATTGTCGTACAGGTATTGGACAAGCTGATCAGTCTCTGTGTCAGTCCAGACCGCCCTGTCTGCATGAGATGATTGCTGAGCCATAGAAAGAATGTGGACTTGAGCAGATAACACTATAGACACGACACTAGCCCAGATGTCGTTCCGATCTCGTAGATCTTTAGTCGTATACCGAGGTATGCATGCAGACATGTCAAAGGGAAGTTCAAGCTCCGTCATCGGGCTTCAAACCGGGACCACCATGCCGACATTATATAATCGTTTCAAGGTGGCAAACTCACCTTACCTTGGGTTACCGAACTGGCTCTTCGAGAGCTCACGCTATAAGCATATTCACTCTCTGCCCGGCCCTTTCGGCTATCCATTGTGTGCATGGTGTTCAGCTCTGACGAGATCTCCTCGCTCCTTGAGGGCAATGATCTTGATCTGGAAAGATTTGGTGGCTCTCTCCACCAGAATAACGGAATCTTCTGGACCTCGCAGTTTTTTTGCGCGAGTTCTCTTAAGCTTACCAATATATTTGCTAATAGGTCCCCAAAGGTAGCGGGAATATACCATATATACATACGATGTTAGTGGCCCTTGTTGAATTTCAAACGGTGACGAAATGACACCGGCATCGCGGCACACCTTCCTAAAGCGTAAAATGATATTCTATCCTGTATTATTTTTGCCTACGGGAAGTTTCAAGTCACCCAGTCACCCAATGGTTTATAGCGGATCTTGATTTCAGTGATGGACACGCGGTGGAAAAGCACGCCTGCAAATACAGTATGCACAACTAACTACGTATCTAGCAGTCTCTTCGTCACTTCCACATTCTCTCCTCGCCCTCGACAATTCAGTTTCCATACTACTCAGTTCTGTCAACGCATCTGTAAAGACTGCGGTAATTAAAAACTTTCTTCGCCAGCATCATGGCCGAGTCAAGCACATCAGCACAACGGAGAGATGGAGAACGAGGAGTGACATCGAACTCGCCGGTGGTTAGCGCACCTCGTCGGACGAAGGAGAAGGATCCGCCACGCTATGGTGCACAATATCGCCAGGATGCACTTTGGGAAGGTGAGCAACCGCATTTTGATACCTACTGAATCACTCAACAAGAAGCAGGCGGGAATGGAGCGCTTCCTCCTCAATGGTGGCAGAGTAGGATACTGGATGATATAATTTTCTATCAAGATGACACACTCGTAATGGTCTCATTGAACCGACCTTTACCAGGGGTGCGACTAGGTGAGCGAAGAATGTGTCACTAGCGCCGAGTAACTCATGGTGAAACATAGATGATACCCAACAACTCGTTCCCAGATGCGAATGGCACATCTCACCACTCGGTCGGTCGTACTTCGTCAATCACAATACCAGGACCACATCATGGAAGAAGCCAACGCCTGAACATCCACCAGGGAGCTTGGCGCCAAAATGCATCATCGAGGGTCATTCCAAAGTCATTTGGAGCCTCGCCTGTTTTGGCACCAGTTTGCAATATATTGAGCGCGTCACACGATGGTTCAATTCGTCAGTGGACAAGTGACGGAGAGCCAGTGGGGAGGCCTTGGAATAGTGATGGGGTAGAGGTAGGCTCAATAGCAATATCTCCAGATGAATCGATGGTCGTGAGCGGAAGCGCAGATGGCAGGCTACGGCTGTGGAACATCAGGAAGGGCAGCGTGGGGAAGGGCATAGCGGCGCAGTGGTATGCATTGATTGGTCTCCCAATGCCCAGGAGATAGCAAGTGGATCGCTCGACGGCACCATACGACGCTGGAACCCGAATACTAGTCGACAAATAACACCACCCATAGAGACCGGCCAAGGGAGGGTTTGCGCTGTCAGATACTCTCCACAAGGAGACAAATTCATAAGTAGCGGGGAGGACAAGGTGATCTGCGTGTGGTCAAAGGACGGCGAGCTGCTTATGGAGATCGAGGGCCATGACAGCGTGTTGATCTCATTGTGTTGGTCCAAGGATGGCGCACACATTTTCTCCGTGTCAGCCGATCGCACCATCCGAAAGTGGCAGTCGATTGATGGGAAGGAGCTCGTTGTTTTTCAGGGTCATGACCGTCCCATCAACTCCCTCTGTCTTTCCCCTGATGAGCACTATCTTGTTAGCGCGGCAAGGGACTACTCAGTACGCATCTGGGACCTCGAGACCAATCAGCTAGTTGGAGACCCGCTCTTGCATGACGACGAACTCGAGGTTGTTATCATTTCCCCTGATGGAAGATATATCGTCAGTGGTGGATTGGATGGAAAGATATATGTATGGAGCCTGGATGCAGCGCTCAAACATACAAGTGATGATCATGTGAGTTTGTTTATTCATTGTCAGTGTCTTTTCTAAGTGGGGTGTGGTTGTAATCCAGCTGGTTGAAGCAAAACCTGATACGAAGCTCAAGGTAAGTTGTCTACGCTTCCCTTTCGCATTGTATCTCACTGCTTGACCAGGGACGTCCAGTTCGATCAAGAGATGACGTGCGCCAATCAGTTATGAACACCTTGATCATTTGCTTACTCCTTTGTTAGATCTTGCACGCTAGTCAGGTGTCCAGGAAGCAGCCAAACAGACTCGGAGGCTTGACGAAATTTGTCTGTATAATTTCTCGTTTCTTGGCTCTTCCAAGTCCAACATTTGTATAGAGCAATGACTTCTGGGACGCTGATACCAACTCCATGCCTCGTCCCGCAGCTTCTCCTGCTAGTCCATTTGGCTTTCATTGGCGTAATTTTCTTGGTTCGCTGCGTTTCAGCGATCGACCTCCAAACGCATCACAATCAATACCGCTCGAGCCCCGACGGTGTAATTTCGACTTATTTTCAGGGAGAAGCTCTATACGCACCGTTGAAGTAGGTGCCGGTCGCAAAAAAAATGTGAGTGGCTTGTCACTCCTTTTTGATATCATTGAAATAAATATGTTTGCAGAGAATATATGTTTCCCCTCCCACCGCAGCAGAAGTGGCCCGCGCAGAAGCGGCTGCAGCTGTGCAACATACGAATGGCAACGAGGCCGGCAGTTCGACGCAAGCAGGTCAACCTCAGGCTGTGCCGGGGACACAAATGTCTGAAGGACGCCCAACGGAAACGCAAGTCGCAGGTGGCCGAACGGGAGATGTTTCTTATGAAGGAGTGAGCTGTTGCGGATTTTTCTTTGGTCGTCGTCGTCCCACCCCGCATCAGTCATGAGGTTATTTACCAAACTCTCTGTTGCTCGATAATTTTCCATATTCTGTAGTGATTTGATGTTTTTCAATGTACAACGAAGCCATCCTGCCTTCGATCTAGTTTCAAATCTGACTTCATCTGCCTTCAAGAACCGTTCCAGAGGGCGTCGTTTCGTGGTTGTCAACATTGCTGTCAAGAATGCTATCCTCATAGAAAGCACGGCCCCTTCAACATGTGGAAGCCTTAACGCAAGAATTACACCCTCAAATTTTATTGAGAACGTAATGACGATCACAGTAGGGACACTCACTAGAGACCGTAACATGCGGGATATCCGATTTTGCAAATTTCTCTAGGGGTGTGATGCAGACCTCTTGTAGCTTGTCTTCTGCGCTTTTCTTGGTGAGGTCCTGGATGGCCGCCTTGCTCAAACCCTTGATAGAGGACTGGTCTAGGGTTCGCTCCACGCGGTCGAGGAGTGTCGTATCTAGTGAAGACGGCAACAATGGGAACTTTGACCTGCGTTAGCTGTGACCTGTGCGGAGCGGTAGCAATTCATTAACGTACTGTTTCCCAGCTCTCCTTCATGCTTCGATGTGAGAAATTGCTCCATGCCGGTCTCTAGTAAGCGCCCGCCTGCGCGGGGTATTTCAAAGCAAAGCCTTGCACGCCGTCAGCTTGCCGTACAGATGCATTAAGACGGAGGCCCCACCAAACAGCATGCAACTGATCTTTCGAATAAGGCATTTTTCTTCGACTGTCGATGAAATCTCGGACTATTTTGAGGTTGTCTTTTTCCCCTGGTTCAAAACCTTTGCTGTCGTGGAGAACAAACTTGTTATTCTGCGATGAGATGAACTCGTGGTCGATACTGACCTCGCCTGGCTTATCGTGCGAAGCGGTCTATCGACAGTATGAGTAGCTGTGCTTGTTGAAGTGTCGTGCTCAACTCACCGCGTTTTGTACTCCATATGCGTGGTTGATCAGTGAAGACTTGCCAACGCCAGTCTATTAGAGGTACCGTGTCAACACTGGCCTGAGATCAGCGAAAGCCTGATACCTTTACTATCACCAGAATTCGGAACCTTGGAAGCCCCTGGGCATCAGCTTCAAGAATGTCACTTTCACGGTGATCCAGACTTACTGAGGACACTTCCGGAATATTTCGTCGGTAGTAGGCTGGAGCTCCAGGGTTTCGTCGGAATAAGAGACAAGTCGCTCGGCCTGCTAATCTATGACTTAGATGTTTTCCAATACGAGACATGGAACCTTACTTCGATTGTTGGATTCCTGGAAAGTTCGACAACGATAGTGATGTTTTTATGAACCTTGTTGTATTCTGTGCATGTGAGGTTGAATTTGTGAGCGATCATGGCAAGGGCGCCATGACTATTGTTTCACCTTGTCTTTCTCTTGCACCACATACACGGAACATGTCTTCCGGGTCGAAAACAATGTCTTCATGCTCAGCCTTCATCCCAAACCATTTCTTGTACCGCATCTGCAAAGAAAATGTATCCCCAAGAGAAAGTTTCCTATGATAAAGCACAATAGCACATCAGGTGGGTACATTTGTTGGGGTTGAGTCCCTACATGGGTGGAGAAAACGTTTGTCGCAAAGCCTTTCCTGCCCCGCTTTTGATTGGCGTGGGCGACTTCCGCAATTCAAAAGACTCCACATTCTTTTTCCGAGTTACTGAAATCGACGATGACACCTATTGGATATATTTAGTGTGATTTATGATTTCGTCGATGAAGTAACTTGTACCAGAAATGTAGAGGGGGCAAACCGGCGTTGAAGCGTCAAGGGAACTAGCCACTCTGAATCCTGATTCGAGTTGGGGACGACTCTTCTTGGTCACGGTAGATTTATCTAGAGGCCGAGTGTGGGTCATGCATCAGCCTTGCTGAAGGGAGGTGTCCTCATGTAGTACCCAGACCAGCTATTCACGCACACGCCCAGCTCGTTATGAAATGGAAAACATGTGGGTCAAACGGCGTGCCTGTGTCGGGCTTGGGATTGGTCGAGGGTGTACCAAAATATGTATAGAGGCTTGGAGCAACCGTAAGTACTGTGACTGATTCGAAGAGAAAGAAGCATGGTTAGTTAGCGCTTTAGCGCTCGTACAAAGCCACCGTGCTTCTTTAGCCGGACTAGCCTGACTAGCTGTAACTTCAAGTTACCACTTAGGCCTTTAGGCATGGACCCTGTGACCTGAGACCGTCAGCTGCAGTGACCAGATCCAACTAATTGCAAATTGAACATGAACAAATTCCGCCACCTTCGATTCGATGCAAGGACTCGTCGTGTACGCCTCATGGTACTGTACATCATTGCCCTAAGCCCACTGAATCTAGATGCTGACTTCGGGGTTGGCAGGTGTTTGCCGGGTTTAGACACTGCAGTGATCGATTATAAGGCTACACCAACGCTTCTCCATCATATTTACCTTCCCCATGGGCCCCTCAAGGATAAGAGAGAAAATCGGTCGTTTTCGAATCCTCGTTGTAGGAAGAGCGAATGCAGGAAAAACTACAGTCCTCCAGAGAGTTTGCAACACACGGGACAACCCAGTAATCTATAACGGCGCTGGAGAAAAGGTGCGTCTCATGATGTTAGTAAAAGGCTGCTAGTAATGACCAACCCATCGACATCAGATCGATGCTGCAGTTTTCACGGCATCCAGAGAGGTAATGTGTACTCTTAGTTGGTAACATGAACTGACACGTTCTCAGCGTGGAGAGCACGATATCGAAAATGAAATGGTGTTTCAAAGTAACCCAGGATTTGTCTTTCACGATTCACGCGGGTTTGAAGCAGGCGGCGAATCCGAATTTGACAAGGTGAAGGCATTTATCGTGGGCCGTTCCAAGGAAACCAGATTGAAAGATCAACTCCATGCTATATGGTAATTGCAACTGATCAATCACGACATGCGCTATCTCAAAGTTTCAACATAGGTACTGTATCCCGATGGACGAGGCAAGCAGATCATTCACAGAAGGCGAAAAGAAATTTTTCTCTCAGTGCGACACTGGAAGCAGTAAGCTTTCGCACCCGACCATCGCTGATGTTTGACTAATGCGCAAATTCACAATGCTTAGTTCCCGTGATGGTGTTGTTCACAAAGTTTGATGCCCTCTACGATGTGGCATATGCAGAGCTGAAATCGAAGGGAGCATCAATGGAGGAGGCTGAAGAGCTGGCGCCGAAGCATGCCAAGGAGTCGTTTGCTAACGGTCCACAACTGAAGGTTTTCAACAATGTCCGATGGCCTCCAAAATGCCATGTATGTCTTCCCAGTAAGCCAGTTGATGGTTGAGTTGCGATACATGATGACCATTGATCCATTAGACATGCACGATGATGATGCAGATTGCGGGCCACTCATCGAACGCACTGTTGCAACTCTGGATAGTGAAGTACTGCAGCAATTATTCGTCTCAATCCAGCAGACAAACTTGGAGCTCTGCATGAAATATGCAGTTGAGAGGTAACTACCCATGGTTTCATTTACCTGCCGCAAGCGTTCGCGACTGATATTGTCCAGAACACTCTTAGAACTTTTTTATTCTGCTAACAGAACGGGTCATGATGAAGAGATAATAGCAAATTTGGGCGCCTGGTTTCCACATATTTGGGTAAGATTATCAGAAAGTTTGAAGGTTGCTCTCATTTACATTGGGTGTTTACTCGCAGGTAGTACGTCTGTTAATCCTCCATCGACCTCGAGCCATGCTGATCCAAGTCATTGCCCACTGTTCGCAGCCTGTGAGTGTCTTGATCCTCCTTCGAGCTCGAGTCATACTGATTCATGTCGTTGCCCACTGTTTGTAGCGTGTGAGTGTCTTGATCCTCCTTCGAACTTGAGCCTTCCTGAATCAAATCATCTCCCATTCGTTAATAGAACGTGAGCGCGTTCATCTTTTGTCGAGTTGAAGCATTCCTGACCAGAGCGATTGATGATATATCTTCAGGAGGTCAGTACATTGATCCTCTACCGACCTTGAGCCACTGACCGACGAAATCGTTGATCCATTGACAGCTTGTGAGTGTGATCATCCTCTGTCGACCTCCTGCCTTCCTCACCGATGCAATCATTGATACATTGTCAGGGTGTGGGTGTATTCATTCTCTGTCACCCTCGCGCAATGCTGACCAAAAATGTTGCTGCTCCGTTAACAGATTGTGAGTTGGTCGATCCATCATCGTGCTCGAGCCATTCTGACCGAAGACATCGCCCATCCGTTCACAGGATGTAAGCACATCGATCCTCAGTCGAATTGGAGCATCACTGACCAATGAAATTACCGATCCCCATTGACAGATTGTTAGTGTGTTCATCTGCCGTTGAGTGCGGGCGTTGCTGATCGATGACATCGTTGATCCATTAACAGATGGTGAGTCTCTTCACCCCCAATCGAGCTTCACCACTGCTCACCACTGACAATACTCATGCACTGACAGAATGTCAGTGTGCTGATCTTCCGTTGAGTTCGAGCTTTGCTTTCGACTGAAATCGCACATCCCTTAACAGACTGTGAGTATTTTAATCTTCCAGTGTTACTCACCGACGACATCGCTCATCCATCAATAGGAAGTTAGTTTCTTCGTCCTTTCTTGATTTCGGGCCATGCTGACCGAAGATTTTACACATTGGCAGTATGTGGGTGTATCGATCCTCAGCAGAGGCGGAAGATATTCAACTTTCCACCATGATTTGACCAGATGTATGCGAATCATCGTGAAGAGATGCGGTCTAGGTTACTCTCTGTGGTATGTCCAATTGGTCACTGATTGTACACATATTTCTGATGTTGCGAATGTGCCAGGCCTCTGGCTCATCACCCTTGGAGAACTATGTTCAGCTCATTTCTGGTGATTTTCGAAGCTACGTTGCAATGAACCTACTTATTATTGATCATTAGCTGTTGTCATTATCTTCGAACACTCTTTCTACATTTCCGACAAGCGGTGCTATCTTCAGGACAAGCAGGAATCTATTCACTCTTTTCGTGTCGCTCTCGAGCAGTACATTGCGTCTCCGCATGCAGCTGTTGTCAGGGAAGGTGTGAGCCCTGCCGTCCAGGCATATGAGGCAGCTGTCACTACTGCTGCCCTCGCATATGAAGAAGCTATGAGGACCCTTCCTGTTTGGATAGCGAAGTTACCGTTGGAACGCTTCAAGAGGAAGGCAAAAGAAGCCTTTGAACGCCCTCATGAGAAGGAGAAAGAATCTTTGTGTTCTCAGGCGAGGGCGGAGTTAACCAAGAATATTCTTGAAATTACTTTAAATCATCGCCTGCGTATGTCTCACCGCCACGCTGTGACAGCAATCCCACTGATCCGCTTGTCTTTAGCAAGACCTTAATGTTGGGCAAAGCAACGCAACATCGATGATGTTCTGGTTCGGATGGAAGCTGAGCGCTGAGGCGTCTCGGCTGCGAATGCAGGTTGCTTGAAAGGTCTGTCGTGGTAGATTCAGGATGTGGAACTGTACGAAATGGTTGTATGATCATGCAATATGGTGCTTAGTCTGGTATGGCGTATACATATTTGGAGAATGTCGGTCACCCTAGTGGCGAGAACTACTGCGCTTGATGTACTACCTCTCAAGTATCCGTGGTCCTATTTCAAGCGCATCAGGTATGTTCTGCTCCATAGCTTGTCTCAACTTGCGTAACTTTTTCTAAAAAGAATCCCGTTTATTGGCATTCTAACCTTACACTATGTAGACACATGGAATTGAACGTTCCTAACAACGTCAGTGACTCCAGCTGATGGTTGATATATAAGATCTCTGAAAAGACCTGGCTGTAAGCGGAAGATAGCCTTCCTCAATGGACCTCGAACAGCGGACACACCTTGAAAATCTCTAGCTTGCGTTCTTTAAGGGACAGCGTGCAATATGCATGTGGTCATAGCTCCGGGTTATGAAGTTTTATAAGATGGATGCATTATCTGTTATACATTCAGCGTTGGTTACTGCTCTACATGCCACGGTCAAGATCCAAAATCCATTCAAGTTCTCGACGATCGCGCGGATTGTAACCTGAGTCTAGATGCATCTTCTCGAGTGACTGATAGACGACGACGACGTGGAACAAAGGAGAAAGCGACTTACAGGATGTCGGAATCGAGTCGATGGAGAATTTTGCAGCGCTGGATGTCGCCTATACTATGGTCTGCAGTTAGACCTTACTGTTTCATGCGTGTCTTATAAGCATACAAGCGTGTCGAAGTATAACAACTGAATCCCATGTCTATGAGCTTGCTGCGACCGACGACAGTGGCGCCCATAGCTTAGTTTCAGTATCATGAATGAGAACCGGAGAGCCATGTACCCAAGTTCAACACAGATTCTCACTCGCGAGCATTGCATTTGAAATTTGATAGTTCACCTTTGACAGACTTTTGGTAGATTTTTGCTAGCGCTGGGTTTTTGTCGAGTTTTTTTTTCAAAATAACACAGGACTTGCGCATTTTCAAATTCACTCGCACATAAACGGCAACAATTTCTCATTCTGGTTCGATGAAGTATTCTTTTCTCACGCTTCTCCTGGGCGCATGTCCGTATCTCGCCTGAAATTGATTCTTTTATCTGCTGTCATCATGTCGTTTATGCTCGATGGTCAAAATATATCAGTTGTGCGGGACAACTCTTCTGCTCATTCGCTGGTTGCTATGTCGTTTGTGCCGCTCGATCGTTCTCGAGACGGCGTGTTTCAGGCGCTCGTGACTTTGCTCGAAGGCGATGTGCGGTTGTCTACCGAATTTCCGTTTACTGTCCGCGACACTTTGCCGGCCACGGTTGTCTTGAGACGTGATTGGTCCGCGTTTTGTCGCGATATTCTGCACAGTCATCCTGAAGTGCACCTGCCATTGTGCCAGTAGATTTCATAACCTACCAATTGAAGCACCACATCGCCGTTCTAAAGACAATTGCTCTTCTGCAGCGCGTACTCAGAGCCTTTTTCACCAAAGCCTTTCGTCAACATGCTCTCGATGCCTGCCTCTTCAAGAGTGATGTTGACTTTTCACCGTCGGACTGGTCTCCCGTCACATTGCCCCTCATCTTCCCCTCAACTCATTCCACCCGTTTAGAATCGCTGAGCGCGACGATACTCCAGGCTTTACCGCCCTTTTCTGCACGTGCTGTGTCCCGCTCTGTGCACGTACTCAGTCGCGCCGCCTTCGGTCAGCAGGTTATACTGTATGAGTGCAGGAACCAGAGGTAGGTCGAGACCACGGGATGTCACAGATATACAAAGGAGAATAGAGGGCGCGGGAGCAGGCTTCTTGGACTTTGAGGAAGGAAAACCGGCGAACCTGCATAGAGAAGCGAGACAGATTGGTGTAGGAGGGGAACCCTAAAGCTGCACAGTGATTTTATTTTCGTCTTGCGCTGTCTCCTCTTCAGCAGATTCATTGGTCTTGTCATCTTCGCCGTCACTCTTGTCTCCGTCAGAGCACGCTCAGCATATTCACCATTCATCGTTGAATTGCCTAGTAAGTGCCAGTGAAAATCAACAGATTCCGTGCAGCTGAGGAATACAATAATTTTCGAGCCTTTTAAAGCCCTTCAGCTGCTGGTAGAATTCCGTTGCATATGATCACTTCACGATATCCTTACAACTGTGACGTTGCTTGAAAGCTGCGGCAGCCGCGATTATCTCGAGTTCAAACTTACGTAATCCCAACTGCCAGGGATAGGCCTCTCGTTCGCGATGTTTCCCTCATACCGTCAACCTCATCGCCGAGGTACCATTACCATCTTGGTAGCTGCGTTGAAATTAAACGACATACTTAGGCATTCATATTCTTTTTTTCGCCAACTGAAGCGAAAATAAAAGTCAAGGTAGCCAAGCGAGGCCGTACGAATACACAAGATGATCCAACAGTACCGGCGAAAATGGAGATAGTGAGCATATCGTTAGCCTTGAACTTGGTGACGAGTACGACGTACTCACTCGTTTAGAGCAGGAACTCCTGGATGGGAAAATGACCTTCATAAACCTTAAGCTTAGCTCAGGTGGCGTCGGACCATGATACTACTAGTATAACACGCCTCTCACGGATGGTCCCAGTGCCGTCACATCAATCACACGGACGAACACAGCACTTGTGAAGGGCAAAGGTACGGCCTCAGGGAGGGGAAAAAGTTACGAGATTTCAAAACTACTTTGCTTCACGTTGACTGCGGTGGTTTCCGACGTTAGACACGGCCCTATATGACTTTATAACGAAAGCCCGTACCACCCGCTGGTTGACACGTACCCACGATGCTCTGACCCGTGTGGCTACGGGTAGGCCTCTGAAAATTTTGGCATTCGCGGGTTAGGTGCGGGTATAACTCATATCATACCCTCCTTGCAGACTAGAACTTATCTGATGGGTGGTTCTCACACGGGTTTGTATAGGGATGCGATTACATGCTAGGATTCAGAACGGCCCCGAAGCTCGGAGCATGATGTACGCACAGATTCCCCATTGGCACGTTGACACCTACCAAAGATCTAATACATATGCAATTACGTACGAATCAAACGTGCACATGGCACAGGTCTAATTTCAAAGATGATTGCACAGAGATTGAAAAAACTAGTACTATACATACTATATCCTCGTAATACCAACCATATCGGGTCCTGGCAAAATAATTATACACATCCATGTGCGACACCATCAAAATCAGATAGCGATGTCCTGAGGCTGTTGTAGAGTCCTGAGAAACAAACTGCAGTACTGGGTATATGGAATACAATAACAAGTTTACAGTCCTAAGAATCAGGTCACAATGGCCATAGTATGAACCCAATATTGATACCAGGGAATCGATTCACCGAAGCTGGGAGACACAAAGATAGGTACAATGTTTTGGAGGGCGCGGAACTTGAGCTTGAACAATAAGAGCCTTGATTCGCGGGTCATCGTTCTTTATCGTCTTCGTCACTCCATATCAGATCATCACCGTCATCTTCTGGTAGGCCGCAGTTGCCAGTTGACCTGAATGATGAGATAACGTTTCGTCTGCAAACATTATAGTATGTGAGGTTCCGAAAATGAGAAACGAGATATGGAAATAAGATCAGTTACCTTGCGAGCAAATCCTCCACACCCGCCTGTCCTGCTTCCCAGTCTACACGTACCCAGTTATGCACGAGCTCACCGTCGCGATAAACCAGTAGTGTTGGTAGCATGTCGGTGTCGACGGCCTCTTCCTGTTCTCCCTCATCGTCATCATCGTCGTAAAAATGCATCTCACCAGCCTCATCAGTATATGGATCTTCATCATCATCGATAAATCGCCCAGGCATCCCAGACCGTGCCCGAGACGACAAAGATGGCACTGCGGTTGAGGCAAACCCAAGCGCAGCAGCCCGCGCACGAACGAACTTCGTCTCAGGGTACGTCCGCGCAAGTCGCGCCAGTACATTCATCAAGAGCATAACACCGATCCAACGACTACACCACAAAACCAATCAGAACCGACCAACCCATGCCCAACGATCCAACGCTCACCGACTCATAAAGATGAACAACCACCCAAACACCTCTATCCTCCCTCTCCACAGCGCTCACAAACCCCCCACGACCGACCTCCCTCAGATGTCCAAACCGCCCCGCCCTAGGAAGACCCAGTACATCAATCCGCTTTTCCCCCTCTCTCAGGATCCAGCGCCTCTTTTTCCGCCTCCTCCTCTAAAAATGTTTTTCCACCCAAGTTGGCCCTCTCCATCCGTCGGCGCACTTCCTCCATCTCTCGTGCACGCCGCTCAGCCTGTAGCGTAGCCGCCTCGTGTTGATCGCGGATGACGCCTTTTACTCCCGTACGCCCAGGGCCCATCCCGATGGACTCTTGTTGCGCCACATCGGGCTGTTGTGGGGAGGAATCTGAGGAGGCGGATGCGAAGGAAAGGGTTGGGGAGGGGCTGCGTTCGGGAGAGGAGGAACGTGAGTTCGTTCCCGAAGAGCTTGCCTGAGAGGACCAAGTGCTCGATGTCAGCGTCCTGGAAGGCGATGAGCGAATGACGAATATGAGGAGAGTACGCTTACCATTGTTTAGTAAGGTCACTAGCACTATAATTACGATGAGACGGAGTGTCTGACAAGTGCTGTGGGGTGCGGAGCAATCTCTCGATCTCAGATCTACTAGGTGATTTGATTTCAAATCGTCCAAGCACACAACTACAACGCTAGCTTGGAATAATTTCCAAAAAACTTGTCATTTCCACCCTACTACGGTATCATATGCCACAAAGATGCCTCCAGAACCAACGAGAAAAAGGAGATGAGAACGAATGAACGACGAGGAGATAAGCGTATGATGATATGATGTGATGTGATGCGGTGGTATGCTACAGTCATCGAAGACCTTTGACCAGGAAAATGGAAAATGGAAATGAGAAACTGTCCAATGGAAAGGTGTCCAACTCCATGAACTGGAAAGCAAAGATAGCGAGGTATGCGCGCATGGATGATGGGAGCGCGAAGACAGAGGGAACGTAGAGTGAATAGAAAAATGAAGGTGAGAACCAAGAAACGAGTGCTATGGTATTTGTAGTATGTGGGGTTATGGGATGAATGAGGAATGCATGTACGGGTGTTTGATACAGTGATAAACGAACGGTGACGCAGATATACAGTGACACGGCGGAAGTCAAGGTGGGTATGCAGGTAGAGAGCACAGAAGCAGATGAAATGAAGGACTAGACGAGGCTACCAGCACCTCCAATACGGTCAAGCCCTACCCGTTTCAGATCCCGCAATGTGATGTTGACACCGCGGAAATCCTCAAGCCAGACCTGCCGCTCACCACAACGGGCAAGAATCTTGGCCCAAAACTTCAAGATTCGCATCTCGGGACGCTGTCCGCCGCGCATTGAATGGGATGCGCGGCTCAGGTCACGGACGTAGCGTAAAGACGGGAAGGCATTATTGAAAAGTAGCGACGAGATTTGCTCCACCAATGGGAAAAATGGCGCTTCATCTTCTACGTCTGCAGGGAAAGCAGATGCGTCATCCATGAGGCGCTTATCAATATCTCGGATGCCAATGAATTCGAGGCTTTTGTGCCCAGGAAGGAGGACGTGTGGCGCTATCCAATCTGGGTTCTGCCAGTTCCACTCTGCATCCGCAGAACAGATGAACTCTTTGAGGTTGGGGCACCACTCTGCTAGTGGAATCTGTTGCACAGGACGAGGTCGGAGTGATAGGTAGTGCTCGACGACAAGTGAAGAAGAGTGTCCCAGCTCCAGCTGGTGTAGTTTTTTGCCATGCGCGGCAAAGAAATAAGCGAAACCGGGGCCCGCGTAGCCAAAATCTGAGGAGACTACAGAAACATTTCGCAGATTTGGCATGTCCCATGCGGCAAGTACCGCGAATGTTGTGTTATCGAGGGTCAGCTTAAGGGACTGAAGAACAGGAAGGGAAACAATGGGGGATTTCGACGCGAAGAGGTGGCCAGAAACGAGGGGTATGCTGGACGATGAAAGTTCTAGGTATTCGAGGTTAGCTGCAGTGCGCCGGAGGAGTGGCGACACATGTTTTGGGAAGGGGTCATCGCTGTAGTTGGTGAGAGAAAGTCTGCGGAGTTTGCTATTCGAATTCGCGAGAACAGAAACCATCTGTTCCGGGGAACAGCGCACATCGATGAACTCTGAATACCGTGTGCATCTCACTGAGTGATGGTCGGAATAGATGACGAGATGTGGGGCGTAATCGAGAATGGTACGGATGTCATCCGTGGCGCACCGTAGAAGTACGGGTGTTTCCATGTGTAATCGGCGGATGTAGTGGCCACTCGATGGCTTGCCCTCTATAAATTGCGTGAGCAAGGTGAGCGCGAGCATTTTTGCTTGGCTGGCTCGACTGATCCAAACAAACTCATACATGTACTCCTGCATGTATCTATTCCACGCTTTGCTGACAAGCGACAGGTCTCGCTTGATCTTCATGGCGGCGTGGTATTCTGCGACGTCGCATGGAGTTTCCAGAAATGATAGACCAAGGGAGATGTCGAGAGGGTCTGAGTTCATAGTTGTGGCTTCCCGCAAAATCATGACCCAAATTTCCGTGGGTAGATACGGAAGGTCAAGTGCGGGCGAATGAATGAATGATATCCGGGGGGTATCACAGAAGCCGTTTCGCCTGTAACAAGAAATATTAGACAGTGTAGAAGACAAAAAAACTACACGGGTGGTTGCTCGACGTATTATTGAGGGCATACCATCTACCCTCGTCGAGTTCTGCCACGCATCGACAGATGAAACACTTACCGTTTCGCATGGACCATCGAGGACATCGCTGTCAACAGACAACGGATCTGACGGACAATCTTTGGACTGCCTACAAAGCGCATGATCGGACAAGATGAATAGAAAAAAATCGGAATGAAAGGGAGAGTTAAAAATTGGTGGCTCGGTGTCGATCTTGAAGGTAGTAAGGAACTAAGTAGTAGGCTAGCCAGCGTCTATATATCCCGACCCTGCCTCATTGATATTTCACACGCTGTTTCAATCTACTGTATGTAAGCACTTTTGATATCCCATAACTTGGCAGAGATAAAGATGCTGTACTTATAACCGTATTCTTAGACAAGGAACAGTGCCAGCTTCATCATATCGGCCTAGTCAGCCCACAAATCCTAAAATATAGTCTAGTATTTTAAAAATCTTCTGCCTAATATCCTTTCGACTACTCAGAGCCTCTGTGGCCGCTAAATTGAATCCAACCCCGCTTGTCGTAAATAATTCAAGGGTTCACCCTCGGATGCAATGGCATAAAACGCCGTAGGACCTACGCGAGGCGGCAAGTCGCATAAATGATATAGGCTCCGCGGTTGGGATATGATAACTCTCGCCGCATGCAACAAGAATCGATTGACTCTAATGAAAATGCATATCTAAAGGTAACCGCATGGTCTTATGTCACTATTGGAGCTTCGCCAACGCGGCCGCACGCCGGTGTGGAGAGGCTTGAGTTGGGTTCAATCATTGGCTTCGTCTAGACGAGTCTAGGCACATCGTAGCACAAGCCGGACGCTGGCGAATACCGTCGAATTCAAAATCAAATCCCCCGTGTTCTACCTTTTTTTTTTTACCTTCGCGACTGGACGTCAAACAAGGTTCATAAATCACGATTGCTATGGCCATCGAATACTTATCGAACGACTTGAAGTCAAAACTTAATAGCAAAAAAACCAGGTCTGGTGATCCCTGGTGATCCGTGGTCATATAGAGATCGGAACTTCCGCCGAGCACTCGTTGTGCAATGTGCATTCTTCCGGTGAGGTTATTACTAGTACTATTTGGGTGCTGGTATGACGGCAAAACGCGCGCGGGTAGTTCGGTGTTCATGAAGACAAGCAGGAACTTGAAGGTTCAAATCAGGATCTATGCCCCATGGTGTGCATTAACTTTGAACGCTGAACTTGGCCGTTTTTAGAATTAAGTCCTCATATTTCAAATATCCTGAAGGCTTAGTCTTGAAGTTTAGGCGAGAGGAACCGTACTTATTAGGCGAGTTGTGACACTAACCATGGGATTCATATGGAGGGTCGAGAATCTACTAGTACTTACTTGCAGAATGTTCTTCAAGAATTGCGCCCACAACAAGAATACCCTTCACCCAACTTGAATCCTTACACAGTGACCAAATGTCTTCTCAGCCTATCGGTCGAGTATTACCCACGTTACCGATTACCCCCGGGCATTGAAAAATTAATGCAGTAACGTGATAACTAAGTACAATAGAAGTCTTCAGTCGTGCTCACTGCTTACTATGATCAGTGGTGATGGTTTGACGCGTCCCAGAGACGCTGTTCGTCGGATTGTCGACTCACCTAATACTCAGGTAGTCATCATAGGTTACAAATCTCGCATTATTCAAGACCGGTCGGCTGAGTCTAATTCTGCGGGTCTCCTTCGTTTACGTTGATGCGTTAGGTTTTAATTTTCATGGGGGAGCGGTCCCGATATGATTGGTGGAGACTTAACTGAGCTCGGCTGCTGCAGATTATCAGTCACGGTAATTTGGTAAGTATTTGTGATTCCGGGAACCTTCAGCTGTATATTGCACATATCATGTAGTGTTGTTGCGAGGTGAACTAATTGAATCGAAGCAGAAATTTTGTTACGTTCGATGTGACTTTCGCTATGGACACCAAGAGGTCACTGGTTTGTTGGCCAAAGTCAGACTCGTTCCGCTTAATGTTTCACTCGTGTCGTGGCGCGACCTAGAGACTTGTTGTTGCTTTGCACTGCTCGCCACCCGTGATGATGTCATAAGCAGTGTCAAGTACGGACCAGGCGCTGTTACAGAAGTGACAACCGCTGGATTGATTTGCTTACAGCGGTCGTATGTTAACAGACCAGGTTTCATGATCTTGCAAGTTATTCCACTCCTGGGTCCTTGGGTGCCAAAAAAGACTGATTGCTGATCAGTGGACAGGCTTCGGAACTCGGAGTTACGACTGTAAGTAGACAGTTGCAAGTAAAGCTAAAACAAAATGAGAGGTGTCTACAGCGAATCATAAATATTGGTAATTGGGTTGCTCGGATGACAGACTCGGGGGATGACGAGGTCTGGGCTGTGAGTTACTAATGTTGATCACAAAGAGTCGGAAATTCGGGATGGTAATAGGTCGGAACGTAAGACATTTTCACTCATCAAACTTGATCCAAAGGAAAAAAGGTGCAGCATCAAACAAGAGTTTGGACAGAAGGTAGCCAAAGGTGCTTACATGTTTGGGGTTGCATACTCGGTCCGGGTGACTGGACTTCTCTTGCGGTTAAAACAACCCACCTACGAATGCACCTGCACCCGCAATGCTCTGACCTGGGTGATAAGGGACCAGAGGAATGTTCGAATACTCTTACCTGTGGATTGCATTTGGGTAGGTGACCCAGGTCGACCGTGAGGCCTTGAGGGTCATCATTCCTAACCTTTCACAGATCACTACTTCCAGGCACGGTGTTATCAGAGGTCCTCAGCGTCGTTTAAACACGCCTGACTCTGTCCGCACACTAGCCAACAAGGTAACTCCCTGCATCGCCTGGTAACGTCGACTGTCATTAGGAGACACGATGGTCAAAGCAACTCGAGGTGGCGGTGTAAAATAGAGTGGGAGTAGGAGTTCTAAATGTAGCTAGGGCCTAGGCACTATCATCAACCATCATGCGCCAAGTACTGTATTAGTTTGGGACTAGCAAAGTACTAGCAACCGCTCTGCTAGTAAATGGCCATAGCATCATCCTTCAAGTTGGTCTCCAGACTTTAACCAGAGCCAAGCTGCGTCTTTTCGTCTCTGAGGCCTGGTGAGCGTGCCTCTTCACAGACCCAATTGGGTTGCTCAAACATCTGGTCTCAAACACTCATGTGACGTATATATCCACTGCGAACAGCGCGGTGGATCACTGCATCGATCGTCATACTAGTTGCGTCACGCATGACAACTGACATAGCGCTACGCCTCTTCTAATTTCTAAAGCCGCACTAACTGTCAGTGATCCACCACAAGCCACAGGCCCCCGGGATGCGTGGTTTCAAGTAGGTCTGAACTAATGGTGAAAAAGTCTCAACTAACTTGTAATCAGCCCTGGATTTGTCTGGATTTTCGTCTTAGGCCTTCTGTGACTGGACTTGCATAGTACCAGGTATTCTGGGGCTGTTGTTTTGTCTAGACTTGCATATATGATGCGCGGAATCTTTTCTAGAATACAGAATTCAAGGTGAAAGCATCATAGACATAAATTATGAGCAATAAGTATGTGTCCCACTGTAGCTGCTTACCATCCTTTATGGCACTGCACTGTAACGTCGATGCCGAGGACTGCTGAAAGTTGAAACCTCATGATAACTTTGGAGCTTCAAATTTCTTGTCGAACCTGATCAAGAAAATTAAAATGAGTACGGGCTTGCTGAGCGCGACGTCGGAAGTGTCGCTGTAAAATCAGGGCAAATTCACATTTCGACCCAAAATTTTGGATAAATATCAGACCGCAATTACAATCAGGTCTGGGGGCCTTCCATTACCCAATAGGTTTAGTCTCCAATCAGCGCTTCAGCACTGGTCGGTGGCAGCTCGACGGCTATAAGATAGAACATGAGCGTTGCACTATGCGTTTACCGTCCTTCATTCCTCCGTTTTTTCCCTTTCACAAAGTTACTCTATTTACGCTCATAGACCATTATCAAAGCAATGATTGACTTAACATTTGAATTCAAGGCCCTAGGAGCATTGGTTGCTCTCGTTCTAGCAGGCAGTTTCCTCCGCAATAAGATACGTTCAAGGTCACGCTTGCCTCTTCCTCCAGGACCCCCTGGACATTGGCTGTTCGGAAATGCTATACCAAGGACCAAGTGAGCACATACTCTCCGAGTTCATGTGGACACTAACAATAAACACATTGCAGCCAATCTCAACATTTTGCTGAATGGATTAATACCTACGGGCCTATCATCTCGCTTCGGGTCGGGCCCAAGGTCATGATCATCATTGGCAGATATCAGGTAAGATGACTTCGAACCAATGGCTACTAGAGCGCATACTCACTTGCACAGGAATCCGTTGACATAATGGAGAAAGAAGGTGGTCTACTAGCGGACCGCCCCCGTGCAGTTGCAGCAGGAGAGATTCTATCTAGCGGACTACGTATGATCCTTGCGCCCGCAGGAGAGCAGTTCCGGAGACTTCGCAAGTTGCGTAATATCCTCTCTTGGCGACTGCTTTGTTGAAGTTGTATTATCCAGGGCTGCACACACTCACCTTCAAGCGAAGGCCGCGGAATCCTATGCGCCCCTCCAGATGGACGCCGCCCGTGATGTCATCCTTGACATCCTTGATAACCCTAAAGGACACCAAGCAGCCGCGAATCGGTGTGTCTTACTTTATGGCTGATTTCATAACCACTCACGCATTCAACTCAAGCTACGCCGCTTCAGTCATCTTGCGTGTCATGTATGGGAAGTCCACGCCCACCGCCACAGATGCTCCCGAGATCATCATCATCCACAAGATGCTCAAGCGCTTCCAGGGGCTTATGCGACCTGGTGCATCATGGATAGAACGCTTCCCAATACTTAGATATGTCCCGGGATACACAAGGGAGTTAGAGGAATGGAGAAGGGAAGAGAGTCAGCTCTTCCATGATCAACTTGATCGTGTTTCGAAAGAATTGGTCGGTTTTTAAAACATCTTTCCTAAATACCCACCTGACCAGTTCTTTGTAGGCGACCGACAAAGCTGGACCCTCATTTGCTCGGTACCTTCTTGAGAATCAGTCTTCGCACAAGCTTTCAGACGAAGAAATGGCCTATCTCACCGGTTCGCTCTTTGGTGCCGGTTCAGACACGACTGCTGTCGCGATTATAGTTGTTGTGATGGCTGCTGCATGCTTCCCAGAGGCGCAGGAGAAAGTGCAAGAGGAGTTGGATGCCGTCGTTGGTCGTGACAGGGGTAAGTCAACATGTGAGCTCATCTGAATAAACGAATCTCAACCCGGTTATCATAGCTCCCACGTTCGATGACTACAGTTCCCTCCCGCAGGTTGAGGCATTCATGTTGGAATGTCTTCGCTGGAGGCCTGTAACAACTCTTGGATTCGCCCACTGTGCCCAAACCGACATCGTATACGTACGTTTCTAATGCTCTGGCGTGACTTCTGAATTGATTCACTGGTTGAGCAGAAAGACATTTGTATACCACAGGGTGCTATCGTCTTTGGCAACCACTGGTACTGAATGATGTGTATTCTAGGCGAAATGTATGTGCTGATCACCCTTTGACAGGGCTATCTCGCGCGATGCGAGTGTCTACCCCAACCCTGACGCGTTCATCCCTGAGAGATGGCTCGACAGCGATGGTAAAATCCGGGAAGACCTCAAGTTCCCTTCGTTCGGTTTTGGACGCAGGTATGCCTTTCCCTGATAAACCTCGTTATACCTACTGAAGAACGACACGCAGAATCTGCCCCGGTCGGCACATAGCGAATCGCTCGGTCTTTATCAACCTCGTGCTCCTCTTGTGGTCGTTCAAGATCTCGCAGGACCCGGAGAACCCTATTAACCAATCGGGCTTCGTGGATGGTGTGATTGCGCACCCAAAACCATTTGCTGCGCGCTTCAAGCCGCGGTTTGGAGATGAGGCGTCATTGAGGAGCGTGATGGCCAAGTATGGAGAGTTGTAGGATCTTGAGCATGAAGTAGTGACGTATTTATAGTGCTTGTGATGTGATAGTATCTTCGTGCCGAGGACTGGTATTTTGGCACCCTATGGCGTCAATCATATTGATACGTTCTTTCTAGTGTCGCATAGTTCAAAACAACGTAGTAGTATTAGGGATGTCAACTTTGACAAAACTTTTATTTGAGTCCAGCAAAAGTTTCGATGTCCGAATCGAGGGTCGACCGGTCAAGAATGGTTATCAGGCTGGTTCATGGTCTTGCTTCGCTTCTGAACATCGGCTCACAATCACAAGGGAATTCTGTTCTATGGCCCCAGATAACTAATACAGTGGTCACCAGGCATGGATCCTCATGTGCTCCCAAAATGACCCGCACTTCGGTTGTCATGGGTAGATGAAGACTACATTGGCGACATATATGACATCCTAGACTCTGCGGGTGTTGTTCACATGACCTCATGCTCTTTGGATATCCTCGCAAGTTCGTCCCTTGCTGTCTTGTACATGATCTGATTGAACGCTTCCGCATTCTGATCACTGTAACACAAAGGTCAGTGTGTGGAAGCCTGTAGATGGAAAGGGGACGTACTCATCGAAATCAGCTTTCAAGGATGAACCAGGTGCCGCCAGGGCCACCTTCTCATAATCTTTTCCGTAGTCCGAGGTCCACTGAAGGTACAATTAAATACCCGGCAACGAGAAAACCACATGCGACACACCTTGGAAAACAGCCTCAACTTCCACGCGCTCCGTGGGGTATTTACGTTGCAGCCCTGTTCCGTAAAGAGGATGTATTCGTACAATGTCTGCACTTTCATCCAGGTCCACGCAGCCTGCGGCACCCCAAGCTCCTCCGTCCGGCACGCGCGACACGCAGCTAGGTTGGAAAAAAGCCTGGTGAACGCTTTGGCTAGAGAGTTGATTTGCACAGGGTCGAAGTTGCACTCCAGCCACGAAGGACCAAACTCGATCATCTGGATTGAGGGGGATGAGAGGCTGAGGTTTGTTCCTGAAATATTCTCGCAGGCGTCCACGGCCTGTATGCATGCATCGATACTGGCTTTCGTAGATGCATCGAGGCACAACCCAAGCGCTTTCAAGTGGCGACAATATCGTGCATAGTGCACCAGGGACGCAATGCCGGCTGGAGGTTTGTGGGTCCAGACAACACGCTGGACGATCGACGACAGGTATAGTAGCCGCACAGAGCGCCATGTCTGCGCGATGCGCAAATGGTCTTCGTCTGTGAGATAGAGTGGAATACCGAGACAGACCGAAAATATCTCGAGATTCTGGAACTGCAGGGCGGGCTCAATGGCGTGTATGTCTAGTATGAATTGGCGAGTGTCGATTCCCGAATCAGCATCCCAGTGTGCAAGGTCGGTGTTTGAAAGCACAGAAGTCATTATAATCTTCTGTAACGACTCCCTGGACGCGGTTGCGACTAACCCTAGGAGTACTAGTGCAATATCGGCATTGGTGTAAAGACCGTGCATCCGTAGAATCGCGGATTGGATGGCGCGATTAGCTGGGAATGCAGAGAATATGCGACTGATGATATCGGGAGAGCCATCAAACGTGACGTTCTTCAGCGAGCTGAATGTCTCTGGGGCGAGGGAGGAGAGGCGGGGAATTTCTTCGAAAGGTTTCTCGCAAGCCTGAATAGTCAGGTCCTCTAGCTTGCAAAGCTGTGACGTTAGATTGAGGACTTGGGGCAAGGAAGCGGCAGTTATGTAAAATGATGCATGTGTTAGGCTTTGAAGACATGCTATATCCAGATGATCTTGATTCGGGGCCTTAGTAAGTGACAACAACGGCAGTGCTTCGTGCAAATCAACTGCAGAGAAGTGTACAAGCTTGGGCGCATACCGAAAAATAGTCATGTACACCGACTTGATGAGGTCGCCCAGGTCTAGCGGGCGATCGAAAACATATAAATTTTCGTCAAAAGAGAGGGAAATGTCGGTCAATTCGGGTGTGATAAGGGCTGGGAGAAGACGGAGGCCGGCCTCGGACGATATGCGAAGGCGGAGGACATCTACGCGAGGAGTCAAGAAGAGATTGTGCTTGACAATGTCGTTTATTAAATTGCGAGGGATAGGCTCGCGAGGCTCCGAAAAGGATAGAGTGCGAACGCGGCTGGATATTGAGATATAACGCTGGTGCTCTGACGACTTCAGGTCCCCAAGAACCTGCGTAAAAATCAGTAAACTGAGGGTGACGGGTAATGGGCCGACGAGACGACCTTTGAAAGCCGAGCTTTATCACCATGCTCTTCGTGAATTTCAAGAGGAAGCAGCCGAAGAAGCGGGAGCAGGCTGTCGAGATTTCTCCAAAGGAAATCCAATGCAGGGTCTCGGAAAGTCTTGCAGACCTGAGAAACCCTAGCCATGTCCTTGATGCCCCGGCGGAGGTTGAGTCCCTCGTCATCATTGTACACCTCGCAGAGAATGTGAATGAGCAACTCGGTGATTGCGAGAGCGCGATGCATTCGGGTACATGACTGTAAAGGTCGTCCGAACGTTCAAATCCTCATAAATCGCGATATCGATTCGGAGTCGCTATCAGGTTGATATGATGTTTCACTCAACTGACAGGTCATGTCAAGTACCATATGTCAGGAAGGGACTTATTAAGGTCCAGTACGTGGTAACAGCTTGTTCGCCTCGATCAAAGGTCTCGAAGCAAATGAAACAGTCATATAATGCTGAAACCACCGTGGTAACGGCACACGCCGGCGTCGGTGCCAGCCCCCGCTTATTCCCGGTGTCCATCGAATTATGTCGGGATATCCGTAAACGCAAACTAATAGTCTTTTTATACCATTTCCTGCCCGCCTCACGCCTGTGTCCACATGCGCATCGTCCGAGTCTCTGTAGTGCTAAAGGCCACGAGACTCGACGTCTGAAGCTTCCTACCCTCAACTAGCCCTCCCCCAGCCGTAAACTACCCTGCCGGTGGGTCATCGTTGCTGGGAGCAGCTGGCCGGTCGTCGTTTCACGGTTGCAGTCGTGCAACAGAGCCTGTACTCCCACTAGGTATATAGGCTCAGTAGCATTATCCTAAACAGAACGAGAACGCGGTTGTAGCCCCCTGACGAGAACTTTCGCAGGTTGCCATCCCCGCCATCCCAGCGTTCCTCTTGCCCTAGCGAACAGACTCTTATTCTAGGAGACGGGTGACTGCAGCGGGTGCTAAGAACGTGGTCTGCTTTGTGATGACCTGCTGGACGCTCTGGCTTGGGCTTATTCAAGGCTAGTCGCTATTATCTCCTCACCTGCAAACGTCACGATACGTCCTTCTCTACGCCACGACACGTCTTTACAATCACTGTAGGTTCTTTACCTATCATTGCTGGATTACAACTACGACTCACGTCAATCTGGCAGCTGGTTATTGACCGCCGCACTCGCGAAGGACGCAATGGAGCACATCCAAGCTATATATGAGCATGAAGAGTGGAATCAAGCATGTGAATAGGGGAGGGGATGGGCAGTCAGTCGCCGTCAACCTCGCGGATTATTCAAACTCCACTAAATGTCAGCTGCCATCATGATAGCCATAGACTGGACCCAGATCTACACGAACAAGCCCCAGAAGTCTACCATAGTCAGGCCATGGAGTTGCCATTTCCTGGACGTTCTCGGTTCAGTTTGTTCGTTGATAAGCTACCAACTCGTACTCATTTTCGTGTCGTCGCCATGGGCGCGCTCCACCCGAACCCCTCTTCTGCTCCACTTTTGCTCAGGCATGTACTCCACAGTTCCTTTGTGTTCTGAAACTTTCGCACAGTTGCCGCTGATCGAGCGTGAGAGCAAACTGGTTATCTGTTTCGCATTTTCGACCTCACCGTTATGGCGTCGTCTTGGTCTTTTCATGGCATCGTTGGTATTCAGAATGCGACTACCTACGCTCTTGACAAGAAGCGGTTCTGGAAAATGTATGGATTTGTGCCTCCTTTTAGAGACAGAAGATAGTGGCAGTGATCTTCCTGCCTCCGTTTTCACTGTACACAGCGCTATCCAGGGTGCGAAATCGTCACGACATTCGGGCGTTTGTTTTCACGCACCAATGGAGGAAGAGAGACGGGGAACGTAGTCTATTCTTCATTACTGCTGTAAAGCAAATCCGAGAGGATAACAATATACGATACAACACAAATTGGTTCCGCGGGATCGTCCGACACAATGTATAGACGCCCGCAGGCGAGCGGATTGCTTGTTATCTACAAATCAACGTTCGTAAATGGTGAACGCCCTTCCACAAACAACGTCCACCCTTCACATCTTTCCGGCAGCGCATCGAATGGCATACTATGCAACTTTCTTGGAGGCACTCCCATCTCAGTGCACATGGACCGTGTCTCTGCAAAGCGCTGTGCGGCTAACGCAAAGTCCCCTTTCTCAAAGGCAATCTCCCCCAGTCCACGTATGCTGAATGCCTTGAAATCAAGATGTCCTTGGATATCACAACCTTCAATGGTGGCGGTAAAATGAGAGACTGCCCTGTCGTACTCGCCTGCATTGAGCTCGACGCATGCCGAGCCATAAGATCTGTGGAGAAATGAGGCTGTACTGGGCAGGGCACAGAATGTGACGTTTTGGGAGGCTTTGTGGATAATCTCTCTCGCAAGGTCATAATGCCCCTGGTTGCTCGCAACGACGGCTTTCCAGACGGCATACCACAGCACTTGGTAGGGATCATCTCCCTCGTACATCTCTACGATTTCCTGCAGGCGATGTATTGCGTCCGATAACCTGCCTCCGCAAAACGCTACCCTCCGCAAGCGCCTCAAGTGCGTCCCTGCGGGGCTCGAGATTTCCAGTACTTGAAGCATTGCAAGAGAAGGTCCTCTAAGTGCGTCTCCACCTGCACAACATCTTCCCCATAGAAGTGTTTAACCCGCCAGTGGCAAATCTTGGACCGCAAGCCCCAGAAGTCTTCGTCCAAGAAGTTCACAAATAATTCGTCCGCAGATGTTGTGAACGTGAACAACTTGGCCCTATGCAAGAAAAACCAAACACAGGCTTTTTGTTCTTTGCTGATATATTGCCACGAGTCGGAATGCTGGAGGTCCTCAAGGACCTGTTGAGATTTGAATGAAGCGGCCTTGGCATGTGTATAGGTCTGCCACATGGAGAAATGCAGCATGCCACCATCTCGTGGTTGCCGGCGGTAAGATAGAGTTGCTCAGCAGCCTGGAAGACCTGTATGACTTCTTTGAACTGAGAAAGAGCAAGGTGGAGATTGCCGAGATACCACAAGCAGTATGCTTTGGGCTCCCACGCGGAGGAGTTCTCGACGATGTTGAGAATAGCCGGAGTAAGGGTAGTTGGTCGAGGAAGATGCCACTCTAAGCACTTCAAAAATCGCCGGCAAGTGTAATAAGTGTCTTCAGGGATGTGGGTGAGGTCGAAAGCAATGACATGCTCGATGTTGAGGTGATCCGAGATAATGATATCAGCATCATCATCTCGTTCTTTCCAACACTGTTGGACAGTGCAATAGTAGAAGGTGCGTATCTCTTGCAAACATGTGGTATCAGGTGGCAGCAGCGAATCTCGCACATAATGTCGAATGGGTGCAAGCATTTTGATGAAACTGTCTTGACGATAAACAAGAGATTGCATGCACAGAACATCACATATAGCGTCGACTTGCGGGAGAGACGGCAACAAATAGCCAACCAGGGCCTCGTTGAGACCCTGAGGCAAGAAGGCGATGACAGCCAATATACCGGTGGCCGTCCTCTCCGAGCTTCTCGACCGACTGGCGAGTTGAGCGACAGCTGCATGGTGTATGACAAGCTTTGTAGCTTTCCCTCCCATGGTTTAGTACCGCGCTGTGCCGATCCTTCCATCTATCCAGCAGCGTGAGTGGAGACCAGCTGTTTTGCTGTGCAGCATTTGCGAGTAGATTGATGGAAAGAGGGTGAAATCCTAACTCCTTAAGCAGGTTTGTTATTTCTCCCTCCGCATTGCTACGACTGGCTGGGCGGTAAATTCGAAAGAAAGCCTCCAAAGCAGAGCTCAAATCCAATGGCGGAATGTCCTTTGTTATCCATTGCACGTTGGGCGCATTCCTTCTACTACATGACGTGAGAATCAGAATGACACCTGGGGACGTCTGCAATTTCAGCAATAGCTGGTGGTATTTCCCTGAGCGCCGAAGATCCACTGGCCTCTTCGAAGGTCTCAGCATTATCGAGAACAACGAGGGCACTAGCAGAACGAAGAAAGGAGGTTATTTAGTCGGACAGGATCAGCGCCAGCAAGCTCTATGCCAAGGGCTCCTGAAAACCTAAGTCATAAAGGTTTGAAAAGTGATGGTCGAAGGATCCAGGCCATCGTAGGTCACGAAGTAGCGTCTGTCGGCAAAATTTTCCATGATATCTGGCTCGTGGAGGATAGCTTTGGCAAGAGAACTCTTTCCCATGCCTCCTGGACCAATCAATGCAATGTGCTCGCCATTGACGACAAGGTTGGTAAGCTCTGCAACGAGATCTCCACGGCCATAAAACATGGAAGGCCGTGATGGAGGTGCGGGTGGGCGCTCACAGTTCTATATGCCCTACAGGACTTTACACCTTAGTACTACTACTATACTGCCAGTGTATTACATCCTAGTAGCGCTATTAGTATACTTCAATTCAATTACAATGGGTTTCAAAATTTTATCAAGTGCGAACTCGGAACCAGAAATTCAGAATTCAAACACAACCTGCGATCATCATTGCAATGACATCTATTGTACTGATATACTTAAAGTTACATTAATATATACATGCGAAAAATGCGGTAAACAGTAGTTTCGGGCGGCGTGTGATCGCGGAAGGGACGAAGAAAAAAGAGAGAAAACGAAACGGACTGAGTGGGCGGTGTATGTCGACATTAATCTAGCTGGACCGTGATGTGATGACATTCGAGTGATTCTAAATATATAACATTAGCGTTGTAGGGTAGTATGGAATTGTAAGAACTTACCTTGCAAAACACTCTGTGCGGGTCCGTGGTGAGAGAGACCATGTTTTTGAAATGTTATCCGCATGTGAGCTATTCCTACATCTGCCTTGGCGAGGTTCTGCTTCGAAATATCGGATTTGTGCTTGGAGAGATTCGCCAAGACTTCGTGTTCGCGGACCACGCAGTCAGCAAGCACTTTCTCTGCGTTGACGACATCCCGTCTTGCCCTTGCGAGGTCCAGGACGAGGTTTGCTTCGAGATTATCGGCATCACTGATCGTCTGTGAAAATGTTAAGGAGTATTGTTTATGACGTAAGGTATGAGTTACTTACCATTGACCTGATAGCGTCGACTATGTCATACAAGTCCGAAATACCGCTACCAGAGTGACACATATTATTAAGGCTTGCATGCCAGTGAACAGGGCAACGTGAGGTTGATGGTAAATCACTGATATTCAGCTTGACTGGTGCGTTTGTTGACATGGCGTGTTAGAAAAACAATTTTATTGGTTCCGAGAATGTAACTCTCACCTCCATAACTAATATGTCCAACTCATACCAGTGTCCTTCGTGCGGCAAAGACAACTTCAAAGACCACGGCGCTGTTGCCCGACACATGAGTCAGCCTCGCTCTGGCTGTAGTACTTGGCTACAGGATCTCATTTGTTTGCGTTCAGCGTCCGTCCGTACCGCAGACTCAGACTCCATGGATGTCGACCACGCACCAAATATTCCTGATGTTGACCAGGAGCTTGATGGGGCTGGATTTGGAGACTGGGATGGGGTATTTCAGGGTAGAAGTGATGAGGGTGATGATCAAGTCCACGAGGAGGTGACACCGACTGACTCAGACTTCATCGACTGGCATCCCAAACCCCCTCAAACATATGGCAGGGGTCACACTTTCCTCGACTCGTTTCGTTCTGACGCGAACAACACATATCGCAAAGAAAATCACTATTACCCATTTAGCGGCCGGAAAGATTGGGAGGTTGCATTGTGGTTACTGCGTTCGGGGTTGAGCATGGTGAAGGTCAACAGCTTTCTTTCACTCGAGATGGTCAGTTTTAGACTTATTCATTGTGTTTACTATTTTGACAAGTGTCTTGTTAAGATCAAGAGTCTTCCATTATCTTTTCGTTCAGCCAAGGAACTACGCGGTCGAGCGGAAATGCTGCCTGGCGGTCCACCCTGGATGTCCCAAGTAATCCCTACTGTACATCCGACAAAATCACCTGTCATTTTGTATTGGCGTGATCCCCTGGAATGTATCGCGAGCCTCTTAAATCACCCTTTCTTTCATGATCGAATGGATTTTACGCCTCGCAGGGTGTATGCTACTGCGCAGCGACTGTGCCGCATATACTCTGAATGGATGACTGGTGATGACGCCTGGAACATGCAGGTACATTTTTCTTTCTTTCTGCGAGTCGTTGTACTTACTTGTTTTCAAACAGTCAGCCCTCCCGAGAGGTGCAACACTCCTTGGGACAATTTTGTCATCTGACAAGACCAATATCTCTATGATGACCGGTGACAGAGTCGCACATCCCCTCCTCATCAGCCTCGCCAATATACACATGTCTACACGACTCAAATCGTCATCTAACGCCTTCGTTCTTACTGCCCTCCTCCCTGTGCCGAAGTTTATTCACAAAAAAAAATGTATGCGAGGCATACTCGAGGATCGGCTAATCCATGAATGCTTGAACATCGTGCTACGTCCCCTCAAACAGGCCGCTCGTGAAGGAGTTATGTTATCCGATCCTATCGGGCACAGTCGATACTGCTTCACACCTGCTCGTAAGCTATATCGTTGACACTCCGGAGGCCATGATGCTAGCTACTGTCGGGGGAAAAACCTCCCCAGTCACTATGGCAATGTACAGACAGTTTGGAGACCCTTTCCGCCACGAGCCTCGCACAAAATCAACTACACTTGCCCAGCTGCGCGTCGCCCGAGTAAGGGCTGATCCCGACGATATTGAAGCATTCTTTCGTGAAGCTCAGAAGTTTCGTTTGAATGGTGTATCCGACCCTTTCTTTGCGGACTGGATCCTTTCTGAACCATCCCATTTTCTCACTCCCGAAACTCTCCACCACATTCATCGGGAGTTTTATGATCACGATGTGAAATGGCTCGTTTGTGCAGTCGGGGACGTAGAGCTTGATTTTCGCTTTTCTGTGTTGCAGCCCATCACGGGGTTTCGCCATTTTCACGGGGGCATTTCGAAGCTCAAACAGGTCACAGGATGTGCTCAGCGTGATATCCAGCGCTCAATCATTGCAGTTAGCTGCAGATGCGGCACCTAGTGCCGTGATCACTGCCATCCGAGCTTTGATGGACTTTCGCTATCTCGTGCAGTCACCTCGGATTGACAACAATGTTCTCGGATGCATCTCTGCAGCACTCAATGAATTTCACGCCAACAAACACGCAATCATAGCTGGTGGATTTCGTCGCGGTCAGCGTAATAGAGTCATCGATAACTGGTTTATCCCGAAGATTGAGCTTATGCAGAGTATAGTTCCAAGTATTCGAAACAGTGGAGTTATCATGCAATGGACCGCTGACACTACAGAACACGCATACATCACTGAAATCAAAGATCCCGCACGCTCGAGCAACAATAACAATTACGATTCACAAATCTGTCATCATCTGGACCGCGCTGATAAATGTTGTCGCTTCGACCTCGCAACGAGTCTGCTGGAAAACATCCCAGGCTCAAATCAGCGGACTACAGATCATGGTGATTCTGATTCTGATGATGTCGACTTCGATGTCGACAATGATGACGATGATGACATCCCAGCAGAACTTCTTGCGACCATCACATCTCCTGGCCATTCACGCCCCATCACCAATCACTTTGCAATTGCGAAGCTCCTCCAGGACAGGGAGGTGGGGACGGTTCCCATGCCATTGTGCTCATTCTCTGTCGGACGTACATCATTTCATCTTGCCCATGTCCCATCCATTAGATCCATTTCTGTTGACGACACAGCTCTCAAGTTTGATGTTCCAGACCTGCGACCAGCCATTGCTGACTTTCTTAGTCGCGAAGCTGCTCATGGGCAGGATTACGTTCATACTATTGGGGGGGCTAGGAGAGCTAAACCCACCGCTTCACTTCCATTCGAAAAGCTCCAGGTCTGGTTCAAGCTTCGATTGCAGGATACGGATCTTCATGATATCAGTGTCGTGCGGCCTGCTCAGACCCTGAATTGTTCACCACCTTCTGGTGTCTGGACTTGCGGCCGGTATGATCCGGTCATTGTAAACGACAATGCGAGATGCTCATGGCCTGCTGATGGTCTTCATGGTACGTTTTTCTCTCCTCCCGTGCTTATTATTCTCATTATTAAATCTCAGGGCACACCAGTTGGTGAAATTAGGCTGATTCTGCGTCCTGTTGGAAAAGCTGGCACATATTGGTCATGGAAGGACCGCTTCCTCACCTACGTCTATCGCTTCGACATCATTCCACAAGGTGGAAGTAATTGTGAACCGAGTACTCAAATGCACATACTTAAACGAGCGAAGCGCTCAAATGGTACTCGGGTGGGTGATGTCGTACCAGTTACGCAGCTCAGGGCACCTGTCAACCTTGTACCTCGCTTTGGTGCAAGTGCGGACAATCGTCTCACCCAATATAACAGTATGGAACATGCTTCAGAATTTTGGCTCAATAAATACTGGGACAAAAACACATTCTTCCCTCTTTCCATGTAGCTGTCGCAGATTGGTTTTTTTTAACTCATGTATACTAGTAAGATAATCGCTTTGGGTGAGAAGCCTGTTTATTATTAGTTCTTGGAATGCTGCGCTTTGCGGCGCATGATAGCACTGTCTGAAACGATCCCACTGTTGTCAGTACTAGCGCAAACCAGACAAAAAATGGCTTCCTTTTTCAGGACGGTTGACAACAGAATCAAACTTTCCTCCTTGTTGTCCATCCCCGACAGTCAGCGATGTCCATACCATGAACAAAATCACTTCTGACGAACTCAATCGTTTGGTTACTGCACGAGGACGCACCAGAGGCATCGCAACCGCTGGGGCACTTGCTGTCTCATATTTTTAAACCTTTCAAGGTCCCTCTCCCTCATGTATCTGAACTCCAAATTCCTCTAAAAAAAATCATCCATCCCAACGAACACGTCAGATCGCAATATCATGGCTTATCACCAGATTCTCTCGTGCCACTATACAACATCGAAACGAGTACTTGGAACTGGGATCTTCCAGTTAATCCCCCTGGAGGTGGCTCGGACTCAGACACTAGTGGTGGTAGTAGCCACGGTGCTCCAGCGAGTCAGGACCCAGAGGTTGCAGAGAGTGCAACTTACGAAGAAATTTTCGCATCCTTTATGAATGCTCTTGCTGGCTGTTTATCAGCATCACAACCCCTCCTAGAACGCGAGTGTTATGCAACTCGCACATGGAGCGCAGCCAATGCTCACAAGGCATTGCCCGGGAGCGAGATAAAGCGCAAACCTGACCTTGTTCTATCTGACGACTGTCACAGCAAAGTGGGGAAATATCAGGGTATCCGGTGAGCTGACACATAGTCCTTACAAGCCTGCAATGCGGCTTGGGAAGGCTGCCAGACACCCATGCCTACCTCATGATGAGCGAACAGCCCTGGAGGCGCTTTTCGCTCATATTATCATTCACTAATGCCTATCGTCATCTCAGAGTCCTCCTGTATGATCACTCTGGTGGCGTGGTATCTACCCGCTTCGACATATATCAGCAACCCGACTTATTTTCTCATATAATCGCTGTTATCAATTTCGGCAATCTAGAATGTGTCGGGTATGATTCAACGGTTTCGTTCACGAAACTTGTTTCGCCACCCCCCTCCAAAAATATCCGTGAATATCGCCCAATCAAGAACATACCCCGACGTAGCAGTTCAGCAGACCCTGCCGCATCCACTTCTGAATCCCTCGATGAACTGGGCTCTCGGGACCCGTCCTTTGACGATGATATAAAGTCTGTAGTCTCTCATGACTCTGACGATGATCTCGAGTCTGTGGTCTCTGATGACTCTGGCTCTGAGGAACGCTTAACTGACTCGGAGGACACACCTGAAGGAAATTCAATTGAATCTACTATGCAAACGGAAGAATTCCCCCCATCCCTCCCTCCAGTGCAACCCACTACGGTGTCCAGTGCCCCCCTCCTCAGCCTCGCGTCCCAAATTCCCCAGGACTTGACAGAGAGTATATCTTCCGTCACGCCTCATCCTTCCCAATTTCCCTACTCTGCGCACTCACCTGAACCTTGTGGCAAGATCCGCGTAGGGGATGACGTGTACATTATCAAGCGAATTCTTTCTGCAAGCCGGGGGCTTGTTGGTCGTGGATGTATCTGCTATCTGGCCAGTCTGGGCGATGAAGATTTTATCATCAAGGACCATTGGGTTCTCGGCAAGCGGGAAGATGTCATTTTGAATGAGATAGAGATGTTGAAATTAATGCAAGGTGTCCCTGGCGTTCCTGAGCTAGTAGATTATTGGCTCGTCACGACATCAGAAGGTGAGGTTGACGTCACTCGAAGTTATCGCAAAAGGGAACGCCGGAGTACCAAGGGCACCAGTCGCACTCATGTCCGCCTTGTCCTAAAGCCGTGTGCTCGCCCCCTCCACATGTTTCGAACGCTGAAAGAGTTCGTGAGAGCGTTAAGGGACATTGTGATCAGTAAGTGTCTACTAGTTGAGTTGTGTAAGAGCATTGAACTGATGTTTCTTCTTGTAGTCCAGAGAACGGCGGTGGAGGAGCGCGTGATCCTGCATCGCGATTGTAGTCTTAATAATGCGATGATCCTGGATGATCTAGACCTCAGCAAGGGGTTCCTTATTGACTGGGAATTTGCAGTACGCATTGCTGCGGACAATAAATATCCCATCGGTGGTACGGTAAGTACATTCATTTCATATCGAGTTTCAAACATTGATTCATTTTCCAGGGCACGGTCCCCTTCATGTCACGCATGCTTCTCAGCCAGGTTTCGCTTTTGCAACAAAAGGTGGTTGCAGACGCTGAGCAGAAAAAGCTGATGAAAGCAAACAAATCGAAATCGAAGAATGCTCCTGCCCTGAAAACACCGAAAACCTCCTCAGATTCTTTAGCGCTGCCCGTTTCTCATGTGGTCCAAGGTTACTCTGATGATCTTGAATCTCTTTTCTTCATATTTGCTTGGGTTTGCATCAAGTTCTGCGGTCCCAACGGCACGGTCCGTCAGGAGCGCATGCCCAATTCCTTACTCGATCGCTGGACCAGCCTTGACCTGGCATCGTGTGCTGCCTTCAAGATCACCTTTTTCGTGAATCCATTGGATGAACAGCGTCTCATAAACGAATTTCACCCATACTTCAAACCCCTCATCCCCCTTGCAAAGGATTGGTGTGCAGCATTGAAGGATAACATGGTTAACCCTGTTACCTTTGACGCCATTCTTCACATACTCAACTCTCATCTTGAGGAGCTTTCCGATGATGAGGAGCTCCAATCCACTGTGACAATGCTCAAGAAAACTGCCACTGCTCTTACTAGTAGCTTGAAACGTGTTGCTTCACTGTCTTTGCCCATGCCGAAGCGGAGGAAGTCGGACGACTTGCCGGAGACATCCGAACAGGTGTAACATATTGCATATCGTATGCATTTTCTTATTAGTAGTTATCACACTGACTCAGATGGGTGTCACGTATTTCCTGACATGTATATGACTACTTGTAGATCTACTCTGAGTCATGTACGACTGACATCGATATCGTTTGCCTTATAGTTTACGTTTTTCTTACATAATGATATATTGACTTGGATATGTGACGCCAACAGCACACTTACAAATTAATTGCACATAATAACACAGCTGCGCATTGACTCGAAGGTGCGAATTTCATGTCTTTCTATCGGTGCATAGTCTTTAATTACCTCCATCAGCGCTGCGTCCTGCATACAGTCGAGGCGAATACCGTAGCAGTACTCCGATAAGCATCGCAATAACCGTCAAGGCTATACGAGTCCTTCCGCCAAGATTTGTATAAAATGGTGAGTCTGATTTGTAAATTACCTGTCTTGCTGCTTTCTTTATTGCAACATGCCTCCTCGTGCAGTAGCCAGTCCCAAGAAGAAAAGGTCCAAGCGCAAAGCTTCTGACGCTTCAAAGGCTAGCTTACCGAAGAAGCCCCGTGCAGCAAACCCCGTCGAAATTCCTAGCATGCCGCTTGTATCTCTTGGTCTAACCAAAGTTGATGCAGCGGACGCTGCTCCTCGACGTTCTGGCCGCCCCAATGCGGGAACAGGGGGTAGGAATGCCCAGCTGGAGAAAATTGGGGTAGTGTTAGAGGCTAAGTCCAGGAATCGGAAACCCAAGGGCACCACATCTCTTGGTACGGTCAATCCCGTGAACCCTCAGGCTCCAGAACCACATCGTAAAGGCCGAAAGAATCATCAGAAGGTATAACACACAGTCTTTGTTGTCGGTGGTGTTGATTGTGTGTTTAGGTGCTCCCCCCGCCATACAGTCCTGACCCCTCAGACTTCAGTGCCAGCCCCCAGGTGCCTCATTTTTTATTGCAGCAAAATGGCGGGAGGTTTGGTTTTGCAGCTTCGACCACCACTCGTGTTGTCCCTCCTGGCGCAGAGCCCAATCCTCAAGTCTTGAATAACCCATATCTTGAGCAGCGCAATCAGAATACTTTCGCTGATCACTCCCGCAGTTCACAACCTCAAACAACTGCTACCTTGTCAGATTACAATATAGACCCGGCCCTGCGTGAGGAGGGTGACGTCGCTAGGCAAGGACTTCACGCAAGGCTGGTAGGATCCGATCTGGAGGACAGCGACTCTAGCGGTAGCGGTACCGACACTGACATTGACAAAGACGACAACGAAGAGGGTGAGGACGAGGGCAAGGGCGAGGACGAGGATGAGGACTGAAGGAGACGAAGGAGAGAATAATGAATCCCAGTTTGGTTGGGGGGAAGCTCACCAACGGCAGAAGGGACATCCAGGTAAGAATTTCATGTTAGGAGTACCCTCACTGACTCAATTTACAGGATTTTCAGCTGAAGGACTCCCTACTCAGGCTCGAGTTGCTCGCCCTCTGACACCAGACTTCGAATTTCAATACTCACGCGATGAAGATGAAGACTCTGCCCGGATGCGTCTCAACAACAGCAACCAGGTATTATTTTCATTATTTGTTGCATCATGCTCACAGTTTCTCACCTTTTAAGCCTCTGGGCACCTTACCAGGAGTGCAGCAGGAACGATCGGATCCTCAGGTGAGAGAGTAGTTCTGTTTTAGATGAGGCTCACAATATTTCAAAGACTAACACCTCAAAGGCCGAGGATGTATTGAAGCGCCACCATAAGAAAAATGGTCAGCCTCGCCTTCCCGACCCTGAAACGCTCCAGCTGTTGAATCAAGTGGCGGAGTCTGTCGACCAAGTTCAGCGCCGGTCAAAATCCAAGAACCCCAAGGGATCTGACGGGCCGAGGCCTGATCAACTGGCTTGGTATGGACCACGCTGGAAAAGTTTTCTCGAGGAGGCCAAAGGAGAGTGTCGCGGGCAGCATGCCCTGGAAAACCCATTCCCGCCTTTAGTCAAGGAGATGCCAGGAACCATCTCCGAGGTTCTACTTTCAGTTCTGGTCGCATGGGACAAGAACGGTAGACAGTTTGAAGCTGGTACGTACTTGTTTGTTCCCGAACTAATATCCCGAACTAATCTGTTTCATATCGTGATGCAGGGTCTGGCCAGAGCAGCAATATAACATGACGCGATTGGTGTGTGGTTTACTTACATTCATAATTCCTTGTTGACGCATCTCACATTTGTACTACAGTTGTATGACGACCTGTCAACTTGGCGGTCTGATCTGAAGAAGCTTGCAATAAGCATCGCGCCGCTATCATACTCGCTTTTGCCTCCGCCTTCGGTTCCTCCTCAACAACGTGCAACTTGGGTCGAAAATGCTGCTAAAAATTTACTCCAGGGTGGTTTGTATTTACGGTTTGGAATAGACGAGAATGTAAGTGATTTTGCGCTAAATATGCCCATACTCATGGCAAGATCAACAGGGGCGAACAAGGAACTTCGCTAATTCTGCCCCTCCGTGATGCATCCATTGCTTTTTTTTACACAGGACCTTACCGGATTGCACGGAGGCGGCCAGATCATTTCCGCACACAATTGCCAATATCATGCTTAGCCTTAGTTGCCACAGTGGTGACGTGTTCTCCTCCCCTTGATGTCATGCTCATGTACTGATTTTTCTATCTGTAGTTCCACTGCGTCTTTGACGGTCTTGAGAAGAACGTAATGGTAACGTTTATCCGAATTTTCTCCTCGAAGGAATACTCGCCGATCTACCGGAAAATGCTCGACATCATCAAAAATACCCTCAAGGACGAATATCACGGCCCTAGATTGTCAGCACCAACTTCGAGAATGGGCGAAGCCGGATGGTAAGTTTTTTTTCATATGAAAACCTCAACTGATTTCATTCATACAGGGCCGAAAATCTCAAGCTCGACGGCGGCGCTATGGAGGCGAGACATGACCACCTCCAGGTTATTCTGGACTAAACCTTTGTATTCCGCACTCTTCACTTACCCTGTAGTCGCATTTCTTTGATTCGTCA